CGCTGAGTGTTGATCATTGCAATTTATGCAGAAACTACGGGTACAGCTTTCAGTATGTGGAGGATGACCACAGTTAGCACAAGATGCAGCACTAGTGCATCTTTTTGCCGTATGACCCAGGCGTTGGCAAATTTTACACCACATAGGATTTGGGCTCTATAGTTCTACTTTACATTTATACCACGCCACATCAACTGTTCGCGGTAATCGATAGCGATCAAAAGTTAAAATAATCCTTCCTGTAGGAATTGGTGAATTTATATACTTCAGTCACTCCTTGATTGCCCATTTCGCGGACAATTTCAACTTCCGGCACATGCTTTAAGCAAGGGGCATAAATTACGCCTCGAACCGAGTTAAGTTTCTCATGTAGTTTAGCTGAAATAGCACATAGATTAGCTAAAGATTTGGCCTTTATGAGCTTTTCGGTTGCGCGCGGGTTCCCAGCGAGGACTAGTAAATTCCCATCGCGTAGAATCGAGATGGAATCGATGTATGTTGTAATGCTATCTAGAGCTTTTTTTATAGCAAAAGGGCTAATTTGGGAAATTGTTATTCTAGCATCGGTTGAAGAAATAACAATATATTTTTTATCAATAGGAGTTATATCACTGATTGGCAACCCCGGAAACTCGGAATTCTTACTTTTTTTCCTTTGGGGGGATCTGTCAGCTAATAGATGAAATTTATTCGAGTTTTTATCTGGCGGCCCCGGGGCCATTATGCCTTATTGTTGTCTATTGTTTATTATTTGTGAAATAACCACTCACTTGAAAAGGTTTGGGAAACTACTGAATAAAATGTCAGATGTTTTTAATTTTTTTTTTTTTAATGTATTAAAAGGAAAACACGTACGGTACCCGCGATGAACAGTTTTCGCAATAAAAACACAAATAGTTCAACAAATTTTAATAAGTTTGAAAACTTTTAAAAACGTATAACGCAATAAAGAAATTAAATAGAAGAATAAATTGCAAAAATTTTTTCACAAAGAGAAAAATATGTTCAACTTAATTAATTCCACATATTTAGCGGATATGCGTAACTACATACCAAAACTATATTGGAAGTATTTCAAAAAATTTCGTTTTGTTTGGCTTCAAAACCAACTAATGATGGCTTGCATTTTTTGTAATTAATATTTCAATAATTTCAATAACGTCTGCTCCAAAGTCCTTAATTTTCCAAATAAATGATTGCCGAACTTTGTTTATTTGTGCGCATCCGCTTTCACGTATACAAATCTTGTATTTTTGATTCCTTTTTTTTTCTGGCAGTAAAAAAAGGTACAGTTTAAATTATAAATTACTTTTTAGTCGGCTGGATCTCTACCTCAACGTTGATTGTAACAATAAATTAAATATTGATACCCTATACCACTTGTTGTACAGGGTACGTTAAGTTAATGCGAACGTACGTAATACGCAGATCGGCTTAAGACAAACCCTTCTTTTGTAATGCCTGTCGGTCTGTCCATTTTATGTCTGTTCACGTAAGTTTGTATTCAAGCTACGCGTAACAATTTTGAGATATTTCGATGACACTTGGGATGGTAACATGTTTCGACCCAGGAATAGTTCGGATCAGTCCAATTTTTCGACCACTTCCAGGTTACAATTTTCGAAATGTTTTAGAAATCGTGGCTACGTAGTAGTATTTACGCATTGGTATGAAAACTTTGGACCATCTTCAATGAAAATTAGAACATAATCGCAATTAAAGGCAAAAAAATTAACCATATCAAATTTGGACCATCTCGGTCTATTTGTTGGATTCTGCCATATATAAGATGTTTAAAGAAAATTTATGCTTTGTAGAGAAGAAAAGCCTAAGCCTTAATATTTGGTGATGGAAATTGACCCATAGTAGTAATTTCGTGCAAAAATGAATTCTACGAAATTTGGACCATCTATGCCTATTTTTGGATCCTAACTTATGTAAGGAGTAAACTTGTACTACATTAGGTTGCGTTTTGGTCTCGCTTCCCTATATATATCTACTTGAAAAGTATGACTTTTTATAGAAACATGACACAATTTTTGTGTTCTATAATAAAAATACGAATTGCATTAGACAATTCAATGTACCTTCCGGCCCTACCCGAATATAATGTTCTTACTTGTTTTTAGTTATAACTGTTATAAGAAAAGATTGTATTATAGTACGTCACAGAGGGAACAACAAGAATAGAGAGGGTCAAAGTCAAGCAGCGCCAAACTGTAAATATGTAGGTGCCAACGAAATGACATTTAACGTTTTCCAATTTCAGGACATAGTGGTTCGTTATTTTCATTTGGTTTCCATATTATTAAAAATGGGTAAATATCGCGACGATGAAATGACGTATTATTGGACCAAAACCATTCATTTCACCGATTCAGCAGCCTTGCAGAAAATGGCCAACTGCAGCCAAGACATGCGCCATCAACAAGTGATAATCGAAAGAAAGCAGGTATTGCGAACGGTGCTGCAGCGAATCATCTTTTAGCGTTTTGGCTTTTGTTCTCAGCGTCGAAGTGCTTAGTTAATTAAGATAATTTTCGATGGTAAACGGCATCTTTCAACTGCTTTGTTTTCAAGTGAAACTAAATGAGCAAACCTTCCGGCAAATACTGTTCATTTCACATATCACTCGGCATCTTCATTGTTAGAAAAAATATATTCGCTGTGCGATCTGACAGGGCAATGACCAGCAACTTGCCTGAAATCGACCCCAACGCAGCGATACACACGCCTTCACTTCGCTCGAGAACGTATGCACTGCACTATTGATCAATTAAAGGTAGCACTGTTCTCCGGCGAGTGCCGGATGTGTCTTCACGATGAACGTGTCTAATAAGGCGGTAGTTCATGCATATATTACGGAGGCAAGTTACTGGAAGCGAAAGCCGTGTTCATGCTCATCACAGGGCCCAATATGGACCGTCTATCAAGCGGATTGACTTGCCGAAAAAATCCTGGATGAATACGCAATGGCTTTTTCGGATTTATTTGCGAAAATTTCGTTTTCATGTATGACAACGCAACGCCAGGAGAAGATTGATGTGCCAGTTGTGGTGTGGGCTGCTCGAAGCTCAGATACCATTGAGCACTAATGGAATGAGCTCAAAAACTAAGTACGATGCATAAACATGGAGTATGCGAGTTTAAGAGAGCTTCGAAAGGCAATTTAAGAAAAATTTGGAACAGAATTTGGTAAAAAGTTGTTTATTTGATGAAAAATCGAAGGGAAACTGTTATTCAGGTTAAGAGAGGTAATATCCTCCTGTTAATAAATCTTTTTTTAAAAATGATTGTTTGATTTTCCTTTCTCTATCCTTTTCCAAAATCATGGAAGCAACGCTACCTGAAAAGAGCGATTTTATGTATATATATTGTTTTATTGCTATTGTAATGATTTTGAGGATCAAGAGAAGATTGCGTTTCTTTCAAAAGCTAACAGTTTGTACTTTAATTCAATTTAGATGTTTGCAACCTACATTTAATTTGATATTCAGTTAGGTTCGAAGTGAAAATGTATGGCATTTCCGATTTTTTTGTCGAGTGTAGTTACAGAAAATGTGTGAAAAAATTGAAGTTGAGTTGAGGACAAAGCGAGTTTTAGGTCAAAATCCGTATAAATACCAATCCTTATCTGGAAGAACCGGCCACATTAGCCCCGTATAGAAATTGTATTCTTTAAAATTCAGTTTAATGGAACCTTCTTTATTCCTCAGCCGACGTTGGTAGATCACAAGATAAATTTCTGTCGTTCAATCGCAAATAATGCATCTATCGAATGTCTGCCAATGCTCTTTTAAAATGGGTGTTTTTCGAATGCGTTAGAAGAATAGTTTTCTTGTTCCAATTTATACAAAAAGTGGAAAAAGATATATTATTGTTACGGACATCCCAAATCCTGTTCATTCCAGCTAAATAATAAAATCCCTAAAGATGGAAAAACTAAAAGCACATTCGCAGCATGCAGCTGCCGGTCGAGGAAAACGAGTACCAGAAAAGCAGGTCAACGAATTCAAAATAAAACTATAAGATTAGGTATTGGTAATATGATGATAAAAATGTATATAAATAGAATATTTGTAGAAGGAAGAGGGTTAGTAGGAAAAGAATATTTAAGTTGAGCAGTAGAAAGCATTGCCAAAATAAATTGTGGATAATCCTACATTTAAGGAATATAATTGTAAACAAATGATCATACTGTTAAGGAATATAATTGTAAATAAAAGAACTTTGAAGTGTATTTCTCTTGAACAAAATATCCACGGTCTAGTGATACGGACTGTATCTTAGAAAAACGAATTTTATAACATTATTAAAAAATTTAACACTGTCGCCATATTGAGGGGCTAGCCTTACTCTTCAAACGTTATCTTATTTGTAATATATTGTTTTCATTGACAAATCATTCATATCTCAATGGTCGTCCAAAAGATAGATCAACTATAACTAGTCTCTTAGTTTTCACTTATCGTATCGATAGAAATCTAGATAAAGCCGTTGACAAAGTTAACTACAACTTATTGATTTTAAAATTGTTGTCTCTTATCAGTAAAGCAATTCTATTCCATATAAAGTAAAAAAATGTTTACTTAAATAAGTCTTGACAATTAAATGTAAGACACACTCGGAAATCTATATTAACCTCAATGTGATAGCTAGCCTCAGAAACCTGAACGTATATTTAAATGAAGTTTTATTTATAATGGTATGAGAATGTAAGATAGTTAAGATAGTTACGGTTCTCAACAAAACTAATGAACTTTTTCGACGAACATTCTATATTTTAAAAAAGTAAAATGAATTAATTATTTTGGTGGTCGAGTAAACATAAAGTTGTTTTATTTTTTATTTTATTTTTATCATGCCGTAAGTTATTTTATATGGAGATTGTGTTAAATGTATGCGTGTTTGTATAAATAAATATTTCAGAAATTTATTTCACTGCATTTAACATTAACTGCATTTTTTAAACAGTTTTACTAAAAAACTTGTATATAACATTACAAGGAATTGAATTTCTTGAGTATTCTCCTAAAAAGGCATTATGGGAAATGCAAATTTCTCATCGAAGTTTGCTTATTTGGTTTGCTGCATGGAACTTTCTTAATATAACTTATGTTCAATTCATTTCGATAAAATGCATAGATTGTTGTCTAAGCCCATAAAATCTTCTGTGCTAATAGGCGTGCAAGTTAAAGCACACATGCTTTACATTTAATGGCAGGGATTACCTTCATATTTTATGTTAATATTTTTGCTTTAGTTACAGCTCTATAAATACGGCATTAAATTAATATGCTTTTCTGGGGATTACATGCGTTAGAGTTCTGCATTATTGCAGCAATACTTCAATTCGCTGAGGTAATTTATATACATTTCATGAATTACTAATTGATATTGGATTGTAATAAAAACTTATAGCGCAAATTTACAATAGAAACATGACGTAAAAGTACTAATGTTGCTATATTCAAGGCACTATGAAAGCATTAGTGTTATTATTGCTAAATGCAATCTGAAATTTTAATTAAAATGTGTCATGTGTGTGGGTAAGGGATTTGTCCAATTACGCTTCCATGACCAACATATTCCTAATTGGATTGGGAGCAAGCAGTCAGTTATGGTTTAGACTGAAGGGACGGTCCTTCTGTTTTGATGTACGTAGATTACTTTAGTGCCGTAGGCGTCAAAGTGCGCGAATGTTGTGCAAAATGCTGACAACAAAAAACAAAATCCGCAAAATAATTGAGCGAAAATCCAAGTCAAGTAGGTAAGAATCGGGACTACAAAGCCAGCGTCAGTGCTGTACTTCGGTCATTGCACTAGTGACTGCTTTGCAGTGCATAATACTTATCGCTAGGCTGCGGTCACCACCTCACTACAGGGTACTCATGGGTAATTGTCCTAAGACGGAAAAAATGGTGAATTTTTCAAACTGACAGATACTTTTAGAACGACGAGTCCAGCAAGATTTCTAAAAAGTCAGAATGGGCTGTTGGGCCTTATGTATATGCAGTTGCGTATCTTTATATAAAAGTGGAGATTAATACATTTGATTGAGATGTTTTCAGCCTGAAGCTAAACCTTATTCGGATTAGAGCTCGGTTTTGGATATGTAGATGCAAGACTTAGCGATACATTAGCTCTTGAGTGTGCTAGAAACTGTGAGGCTTTTGGGCCCACAACTCTGGCGCTGGGGTAGCTCAGCGGCCCTGGAAACACAAGAAATTTATAATACACTTGGTCGGTTGTAAGAATTGAAGATTTATTCACTATCTCAAAATCGTACTTTCGCGAGCGAGCCATCGCTCTCAACATCGGTCACCCAATTCTCTAACTAAAACTAACTAATTTATTCTACCCTACCCTATTCTTAATCTATTCTTATTCTCTAACCTATTCTCCAGCTTACTCTCTAACTTAGTCCCTAACTTATTCTCTATCTTAAACTCTTTCCCCTCAGCAGAGACGGAGAAACCGTGAGGCCAAAACGAGGGACGACTTTGACTCCTCACAAAACTTACGATTTAACTTCTTATTCAATGTTTTCTGCTTGCCGTTTCAGGATGGTGCTCGATAATTGCTTGCTTCAACACCTTTACTAACTTAATGGATATGGAAGTAACCGTTCCAAAAGTGCTCTCTTAGTTCAATTAACCCCTCGTTAATTTAGTCTGACATAACTCTGATGTATCACTGATTAGGAACCGTCTTTGTAAGTTGACAGTAAGTGGATTTTTAATTTTGGTTAAGAAATCGTTGCAACTTTCATTAAAGAATAAACCAGCGTGCAGCAGTTTCGTAGTGATCTATACAATAAATAAGAAGTTCACATGCTTGTATGCTCTGAAACTACGAAGACGGAAATTCTGGCCACTCCAATATTTATTGCATCCGTTTGAGGTTAAGAATCTCGTTCTGTAAGGTAAAAGTAGTTATAACATTTGTGTCAAATGAGAAAATAAAAAAAAAAAAAATTAATCTTTTCTTATAAATTGATTCTCTATCTAATATTACGCTAATTACGTGATTTAAACATTGCCAAGTTATATCCCTTACATTGAGATTATTATCGGAAGTCTTTCATGTAATTTGTACAAAGCAAACTCAATCATTAAATGAGTTACACGATTTGTTTTTTGCGTGGGTCTTAAAAATCCTGTCTCTTCCCATCTGCTTTTGAAAATATTATGTGTTGATGAAATTAATTGAAGTTTGGGTTGCTCTCCCATTGTTCCAAGCTCAACCCATTTATTAAATTCGAATATGTTTTTCAAGATCTTCAAGAAGTATATTTACGCGGGTTCCTCCTATTTAATCATCACCGAAGGATGAGGGCTATATTCATTTTGTCCAAAGGTTTGCAACGCCCAGAAGCAAGCATCAGAGAGTCCACAAAGTATGTATATTCTTGATAAGCATTACATTCTAAATCGATTTAAGCATGCCCGTCTCTGTATTGTGTGTTGTAATCATTCTCCTGACCGTAAAAATGAAGCTATCGACTTCAAATTTGGCAGAAATATTGTAAGTTCTTACACGTAGGTTGGTGTTGAAAATGGGCCAAATGTATTGAACGACACGTCCGCAGCATCACATAAGCTCAGAACATCCCTGTTTTTCAAAAGGAATGTAACATTAGTCGTTTGCCCATTACTCATATACTACAGTAAATAAATGTACAAAAATTTGAACACATATTGTATGGCTACTGCTACAGCATTCGTCCGCAAAAATGAGGAAAAATGGCCACGCCTATCCAATATTATACTACATCAAAATTTAATTGTTTTTTCAATACCTTTATAACACGCAGAAACAAGCTTCATAAACTTCATAAATTATACAAATTCTTGGCTAGGTTCAAATTTTTAATACACCTAAACATTGTTCATCTGTCCATCTGGTTGTTTGCGCAACTTTGTAGTACCTGCGAAAATGAAGATTTTGCCTACATTTTGCAAAAGAATTTGGAATTGGCCTAAACTTTTCCAAGGAGACGCCTTCAACATTTACATTTCTATACGACAAAAAGTTTTATTTTGAAAATAGAAGAAATCAGCTGCACACACTCCATATTAAAGAGCATGTTCTTTTACTTTTTTTGTCGTTTTTAGGACAAGGGTGATGGGTATAAAATATGGAATGCTCTACCATCGAACTTACAAACGAGTGCCAGTGCTGATGGGCTTATTAATAGCATATCACAATGTAAATCATCGCTAAGCGATTTGATATTCCAGTGTTTTTCGTTCTCACATTTCAGTCATTATTTTCTGTATTTTTGCGTTCCTGAGCGTACATAATAATTTAGATTGCAATGAGCACATTATATGTAATCATTAATCTACATTGTTTGTTTTCAGCTATAACACATCCATACCTCATTTAGAAGGCTTCAGCCCTGTTTCGTAGCTGATAACTGAAAAAAATAAAATAAAAGTAAAATAAACTAAAGGTTTTGCTTTGACGCTAACTTAGATCTATCTTGCTTCACTGAGAAAATGCCTTCACATTGGCGTCATGAATTAATTAGGAGTTTGATCGATGTACTTGTATCACATTTAATACATTAAAACCGCTTTGCTGCACATTATAAAGAGTGTCGCAAAAAGACGTATACGAACTTTAATCTCTTACTCCTTTTTAATTTAATTTTACGTCTAATATTCGTGAGTAGGTTGATGATGAAAAGGACTATTATTTGAAAGATGATTGAGCACCTTCTTACTTTCATAGTGATGTGAGACCTGTGAGCGAAGAGGTGCCATCAAATAGCCGCCGCGCTATCCAGTCATCACGCCATCACGATCTAAGCCTGTCTGTCTACCTATCCGTCTAATGTCTGCCTACGTAAACTTGTGTTCAAACTACAGATCGAAATTTTTCCGATATTTTGATGAAATTCGGTGCAGTGACGTGTTTTGACCCAAGGACGAACGGTATTGAAAATGGTTCGGATTGTTTCAATTTTTCGACCACTCCCTATAAATTCTGAAAAGTAGTTACATAAAAAAAGTTGTAATTGTCAAAATTTATCGACCGAAATGGCTAAATAGTAAATCTGCTGCCAAAAAGTATTCAATGTTGCGCATAAGCTAATACGGCAAAGTTACGGACTGACTTGGCCTTAATTTTAAGCCTTTCTAGATATCGCTATGCTAGCATGTATTCAATGCTGCATAAAACACAGTATTAGCTACGTTTCCTTCCATCCAATATTTATCCAATTTATCTAATTAAATCATAATAATAGCAAATTTATTAAATTTAAATATATTTTATAAACAAACGCACAAAAACAAAAAGAAATTTCAAGGATAATTTTCAATTCACTTCAGAAAAGCGATTAAGTGACGAACATTTCAATTTAATACTGTACACGGGAGTGTGTATGGAAATCTATTTAATTCATACACTTTGGCGCTCTGATAATTAATTGATGCGGTGTCAAGTAATTCCACGTAAACACCTCCATTAATATTTATGAAATTTATTTTAAAACATTATTTATAGGAATTTTAATTTGTTATGCAAATGGAAACATTTATTTATATATTGCATTATTCTTTTTTTAAAACATTTTGCTCGAAACTTATTACAAATAACTATAACGCAGGAGGGGGCAGGAAACTAGGTTGCAGTTTAAAACGATCTCGTTGTTAGCTAGATATAGATTATTTTTAATTTTTGTTTTCTTTTTATTTTTTAAGTTACTTTATAAGGTATACTTATACCTTGCTGTTAGAAGATTAAGAGTGAGAGCAATGCTGTAAAAATAATGAAACATCGAGATTGAATGCATTGAAAGCTATGCAAAAAATGCTTGATGTTCTCTAAAAATGTAGTACCCTAAAAACCCAACTTATTGGACAAAACCCTCTTACGAAAATTAAAAGTACAAGATACAGATAACCTACGGATAACTCAACTCATCACCAAATTTATATATGTCTTTTTCTCTGCTTTATTTTGGGACTCTAAAGCGGTAAAACCAACTTCGTATTTAGCTTCCAACGCCAAGGTATGACTTTTAAATGTTACGTGATGAGAAGATAAGCGAACTGAAGGATCGCTTAGCTTGCTTCTAAGTTTAAATCAGTCATATAGTGAAGAAGAGGAATTTGAAATCAGAAAACCAGAATGGAACAATGAAGAGTCCCCCCACTCACAAACGCAAGAAGTCAGGCCAACCAACATTGCTCAAGCACGTTAATTACTCTTTTTGGCGAAAATTATAAGCAAATATATTAAGCGCTCTCCTAAGATAGTACTGCACCCAAAAAGTAAGACCACTTTAATTTTTGCTACGCCAAGCTTTTTTTGCAAGTAGTTTCAAGCAAACCTAGCGTAACAATCAAATGATATTCAGTAGAATTTGTAGTGTACAAAGCGAAGATAATCAGAGAAAAGGCTTGACGTGACTTTGATTTTTGTGCGACTTTTCCGGGGTTTTTTTGATCTTGGCTCAATTTTTCCACTTTATTCGCTTGATTGATCGGTTGTTTCTGAATCGTAGGCGTAAGCCTAAGTCTCATATCCCATAATAATGCGTTTTGTGATCAGTTTAAAGTTCTTTGCTCATTAAAATTACACACGGGATAAATCGGAAAAAATCGCGTTATTTAACCTGAATATTGGTCTTTCTCTTTGGACCCAGCATTATGTATATGTGTTTAAAATAAAATGCAAAATTTGCTGTGAAGTAAACTTTAAATAGCAATTTTAAGTACACATATTAATACCGCCGAGTTGGCTTTTACTTACGCTGATTATCAAAATTTTTGTCACGACTTTATTGAATGCCTAATCTACCGATCCAAACTGGTTTCACCAATTTCACAAAAGCAAAAATCCGTGCTTGTTATAAGCAAATTTTCACTTCTTTAGGTTTGTAATGTCTTGTCAAGAGTTCAACTCCCTTTTTTAAATTTTCAATCCATTGCCCATATGGATGGACGGAAATAATTTATGTTACTCAACATTGTTCGACTATTTCGGTATTACATTGTTTCATAATTATTCTCACGCGTAGTTTTTTGCACGACGTGCAAAATGAAAAGCTTAGTATAAAACCATAATCGATATGTTTATAATACTTTTTTTTTTTTTTCATTAGTAAACCTAAATACGCATAAAACCGCAAAATTACTTTAAAAATGATTTTCATAAATTACACAGAAATCATTACTGAAAATTTTCAATTAATTTCCAATTTTTATACATTAACAAACGCATAATGTCCCTATAAAGCTATAAAAACTATAAAGTTATATATAAATCTAAAAAAAAAACTACAACAAAAAAGTGGAAAAACAGACACAAAATTTAATATAAATAATTAAATAAAGCAAAAAGCTTATTAAATGTTTTTTTAAATTTTTTAGATAATAATAATGACTTTTGAATATTTTAAGCCTCTTTTAATGTCGTCATAGCACAAATTTAATATGAATTTACAGAGATAAAGAGAGAAATTTTATTCGCCAAATTTATCTGACATTGTTATACCCTAAATCGCTGCTGGTACTGGGGACGTTAAGTTTGTAGGGATTTGTGTAACACTCGGAAGCATTTAAGATAAGTCCATACTTTAATATCGATACAGTACTACTTTCTAAGTAGATCTATCCATCTGCCCTCCTATCTATTGTCTTTCTATGGGTTTTTTTATTCAACCTACGCGCCGCAATTTTCGGGATAATTTAATGAAATTTAGTGGAGTAGCATGACGAACCCTATATAAACTGGGTTGGATCGGTTCATGTTTACGACGCTTTATGTAGGCTTAGAAAAATTTGTAGTTTTCGAAAGTTCTTAGTAAAACAAACTATAGTTAGTAGTATTCCGAACTTTATGAAAAGTGTTTGGATCAAAAAAGTAAATGTTTGAAGCACCGTCTTATGACAAAAAGGTCTGACTTTCAATATTCTACGATCAAAAATTAATTTATAAAAGCAATTTGATATAAACAGTAGCTGTACACAATTTGGAGCGCATAAGTCTATTTTTTAGACTCCATCATATATATGAGAGTTTTCATGAATATTAAGCCTTCATATAGCACCAATGTCTAATGTTTAGTACTTTGTAATGAAAATTTGCAAAGAATAATAAGATCTTAAAAAACAATTTTGCTACATTTGAATCAAGTTAGTACTCATTTCGAACTGTCTCCCGCATAAATATTCTCGGGGGAAAAAAAAACTGCACATGGGAACAAGCTTATTATATTTTCTCACGAAAATATATGAAGATTTTTATAAGATGAAATGGTATTTAACGGCCGGTCTTGGCCGATTATAATGCTTTCACTTGTGTAAAATTGAAACGATATGACACTTACACTATTACATTTGTTTTTTCCTTTCGTTCCAATATGA